GCTTTTAGGAAGCTTGACTGGAGCCCTGGCCGGGTAGCTTGGTTGGTTAGAGCATTGTCCCAATACTTCAAGGTTGCAGGTTCAATCCCCTGTCAGGGCACATACAAGGATCAACTAAGGAACGCATAAGTAAGTGGAACAAAAAAAGCAATATTTCTCTCTCTCCCTGTCTCTAAAATCAATCAATCAAAAATTTTTTAAAAAGAACCTTGGCTGGAAGTGACAAACTTCATTTCTCCTCAGACCTATTGGTTAGTGTTAGTTACGTGGCCCCAACTTAACTCTACAAGAGCAAAATGTAAGGAAGCCACATATGTTTTGTAAACACCATTGTCCCAGCCACATATTACTAAAAGTAAGGTCTGTGCTAAGAATGGGCTAGACAGGGTAAGTAATATCTCATCTAGGAGTCTTTCTCAAACATTGAAAAATATAAAATCATGGGGGATCTTGTTGAAAGGACAGATTCCCAGGCCCATGTGTCAAGTTTAGTTTAGCAGGGAAAAGGTAGAAGCAGTGCCTTAATCAGGCTTATTCTACTAAAGTATGTGTATTGCATGGTGAACATGGAAAGAAGATTCTACACTGAATGTAACAGTTCTCTTCAGGGGACTGGAATGTAAAAAAATGAAACCAAAATACAAAAACAAGTCATATGAGAAAGTCAGTGTCATTTCATGTCACCCTTTCCATTCCACAAGTGAGTTCATTCTGCCCTATAGTCCTGGGAAGTTGCACAGATGTTCCAGCCACCCCTTGCAGGTATGAATGCAGTTCTGCAGAAGCCTCTCTATGGAGAATCATGTTAAATCAAGGCCTCTGTCCAGGCTCCTTAATTTCTCAAGTTTTCTTTTGCCAGTTGCTCTTGTACTTGACTTGGAGAAAAACAATAAAGGAAAACATCATGGGAACTTCTCCTTCCAGCTCTAAAACAGGGTCTTTCCATTATTTCTTCTTCTTTTTAAAAATTTATCTTTATTGTTGAAAGTATTACAGATGCCCCCCTTTCCCATTCATTGATCCCTTCCACTCTGTATCCAACCCCCCCCCAGGCCCTCTCTACACTATTGTTTGTGTCCATAGGTCATGGATATATGCATCTAAGTTTTTTCTTCTCAGATTGTTACTGAGGCTTCATGCTCATCAGTTGCTATTCTTTGGAGAGAAAATTAGAAGAGAAAAAATAGATGATAACATGGGTAATTTTAAGTGCAGGCATGCACAAAAACGTCTTGAAAATCAGGTTGCAGTAGGCATCCTTATTTTAGATTTGCCCCTGTTAACATCTTCTCAATAAACAGGTGCGTACACTTCCCCAAGCTGTCAGTGTTGTATGCTTCAAAATCTACTGATGGATGATACCCAACCAGCTTGAAGTTTTACTTTCGGAAACCAGGGCTTTGAAGTTTCAATGAGACTTTCTTAAAGTGTAGTCCAATGGGTTTGTCAGCATAGGAGCATATCTCTCAAAGACACCATAAGAGTATCACATTTGTATGTTAATTTTAGTTCAACAAATAGGAAAAATGATTATGAGTGATAGCTCTCAGCTTTCAGATAGTTCTTTTTATGCTCAAAGTGCTTGACAAACATTAATTAAGCCACTGGCAGTCAAATTAGATGAATATGTTCTCTGTATGTGCATAACTGCACCTTCCATGCACACAGTCTTCTAAGTCACATCACTGCAGATGAAGTATTTCTTTTTTGCCATCTGAACTTGGTCGGCTGACACAGATTCCAAGCAACAGATAATTACTGGAAGGGCTAATCACGAGGAGAGATTATGTAAGCTTTCTTTGTTTAAACAAAAACACGAATTTATCCTTGATAAAAGCTACAGGACGAACCACAGTTTAAAATGCTTCTGTCTCTAGGCCAGAAGGTAGCAAGGATAAAGCAAATGCCCTCGAATTAGTGTTGGAATAGCTAAACCCTAATTTAAGGAGACCAATTCATCAACAGAGAGTACATTTTATGCTTCCTGGGCTACTGCTGCTTTTGACCTCTTTAGCACCCAAAATGAGGCGGCTTTTCAGACTAAATATGATGTTGATTTCAGCAATATGTTCATTAATGCTAGGAATCTTTGGTCACTATTGACTTGAGAAGGATTTGGGCCACCAAATGAAACATAGTAAATTTCCTGATTATTTTTAGAATAATTTACATTTCTTTTTCTTTCATTGAATGTAATGAAGCTTTCCAAACCATCCCAAGAGATTAACTGCTCCCAGGGGTCACCAAAATGAAGTACATTTCAAATAAAAAAAGAGTGCTAATAGCATTCCATTTTTCAATAACACCTAACAAATTAACACACTTTACCCACCTACATCAGAAGACTGGGAGAAGTCGTGCACATGCATGTGTGGACACAACCTAGCCAGAGTCAGGCATGATTTCCTTGAGATGAGCAAGCTGCAGAGTTACAAGTGGAGGGGACTTCAGTTTCTCCTTCCATTCTGACTGCCAAATTAGTCTAGTCTGTTTCCAGGAAAAGAAAAGTACTCATTAATTGTCTTGCAATTTGTTGAACAAAAGAACATCTAGTTCGACCAAGCTGTCTTTTTGGAAAGACTTTGTAAAAGTGCCACTTGGAGTCATAGTTGTTCATGTGGATCCCTCAGAGAGATACTTGTTTCCCTTTGACAGACGTGCTAACCTGTATGCCTATACGCCTAAAATCTAAGAGATTTCTCTTCCTAACTAATGAAAACCTGATGTTTAGTAAGATTGTGTGATATGCTCAGGGTAATATCCACAGACCACATGGCTTAGACCTGACAGGTGGCAGTAATGGAACCATAACTGATATGACTCTAGTATTTCTGCTGTTAGACTCTTGCCATGTCCCAGGAGTAAGAGTGAACTTTCTCTGATTGCTTTTAGAGCAGGGAGTCACTGATGTGACTGATTTTTGGCCCAGAAAAACATATAAGATATGTCTCTACAGTATAAGTTTGTTCTCCCTTCAGTATGGAGACACAAATTTAGACCTGGCTGAGAACGTTTACAAATTAAACATTTTTAAATTAAATAGTATCCCAAATATAAATGTCCTTCAAAGGTAAATAAAATGTACATGTGCTTTGCATATTTTGAGTTGTACTGATACTTACAAAGTTCACTGCCTCCATTGTCTTGCTTCTGCTCACCCTAACCTGTGGAAATTCTTGTCTTGAAGGTCACACGTGACATTTGCTTTTAGCTATACTAACTTTCACTTAACCCTTACTCTGCTTGACCTTTGTACTACATTTGACACTGTGGACTCTCCCCAGTCAACACCGCCTACCGCCCCTCATAAATACCCAGCCTTGATTTCCTTGACATTTTTGTCACCCTTGCTAACTTTGCCACTAACCTTGTCTACCTCACATCACCTCCTGCCCAGGTGATCACATAGGCTTCCATCTGGTCTTCCAGATCCCAATCCCTCCCTCCTCTAATCCAGAATGCCAGAGTGACTAATCTTCCAAATATCCATACTTTAACCTGACCTTAAAATCCCTTCTTCTCTACAAGGCCTTACTTACCTCTCCTGTTGCATATCCTTGGCTTCCCTCTTGGCGCTTTACACTCCAGAAGCACTTGCCCTTTTCAGTCTGTAACACAGTCAGCTTGGCCCCTCCTTAGGGCTCTGTACTCTCTGCCTGAACTGCTCTTCTCCAAATCATCTCATGACTGGTTGTTCCTTTCATTCAATCATTGTTTAAATGTTCCTCAGAAAGGTCTAACTCTCTCTCCAGATAATCATTTTGAAACCCTCATGCTTTCTTTTCTTTTTAAAAATGTTTTCTTTTCCTTTATTTTTTTATTGACTTTATTGGGATAATATTGGTTAATAAAATTATATAGGTTTCACACTGGCTGGTGTGGCTCAGTTGGTTGGAGCAGCATCCCATACACCAAAAGATGGCGGGTTTGGTTCCCAGATGAGCTGAACTAAAGTGTCTGAAGTCGAGCATTCATAAGCATGAACTCCTGCTGTTTTTTCATTCATTGACTTTGAAAATACAAACCCCATCTTGACCTTTTTCTGCGCTTTGCGTTCTTGGGTCTAGATTATAGTCTGGATGTGTTAGCCAATGCTCCCAAGGGTTAAAGCTAGAAGCGAAGCTGGGAGAAGAGCTTCCATGTGGTCCTCAGGGGAGATCACACCTGTGGCTGGCACCTACTCACTGGGCGGTGGGCAGCAGAGGACTGGGAACACTGTGATCGCTGCAGAGACCTTCTATTTTCTTCAATTATTACTATTCGATAGTTTTGTATGTATTTGTTCCTCTCCTGTCTCTCCTAAGGGGAATGTATGCACCATGAAGAGCAACAGCTTCTTATTTTACTGCGCCTCCAGAACCTAGAACAGTGATTAAAAGATCAATAAAAGCACTATAGAGTATAACATTTTCATTCTATTCAACCCTATTCCTCATTATTTCTGTATAAGCATGCTTTACAGGTTGTTCTCACCATCTGTGGAATTTATTATATGGGGTTAGGTGCGCTGACCTTTTTTCTCCAACCAGATTATAAACTTCTGGAAGGCAGGAGCCATCGTATACTTTTCCAGCCCTTCGGGCCTAGCAGAGTGCTAAGCATAATTTGGTATGTATTCTACAAACACTTACTGGTTTATTTCCAACTGTAACATTATATACTGCACCACTGAACACTTTTACATCAGTAGAGCTGTAACGGAAATAAAAATAGGTCAACCATAAAACACCAGCACAAGGGCCCAGGACAGGGTGAGAGCTTGCTTTCTTACCTTCTAATTCAATCTGAGCAACAAACTAAAGTTTCCTGGGATAGGATGTGATGGACAGGAGGGTGAACCTTGCTTCCTTCTCTAGCGATTGAAAGGCTATACCTTTTGAGTGCTGATCGTCTTCCAAGGCTAAGGTACTTGGGCCTATGGATGCCGTTAACGAATCTTGCTACCGTCCCAAAGACATCTTGGAATCTCTACTCTCCTTTGATCCCTATACTCACTGAACTCATCTTTGTCCTTAGTGGCACTTATGCCTAACATTTCTGTTTAATTCTGACTTACTACTTCAGAACCCAAGGTTATGGTCTTCTGTCTTGTCTTCATCTCTCTTCCTCTGCCAAACCCAACCTGAACGATCTCCTATCAGGTTAAGTTTAAATTTCTCAGGCTAAAATTCAGGCCCCGTATCAATGGTTCAACCCTATCCTTTCAGCGTGGCTTTCTATTGTTTCTAAAGTAAACCTCGTTTTAATTCATGGGACCCCTAACTCTTTCCCATGTTTAGCTTACTCATTTTCTTCTCAGTGCTTTTGTTCAAGCAATTTCCCTTCCCTTTTCCCTGTCAGCCAATCCAAATCCCACACTTCGGTTTTTGTCCATTTACGAAGTCTTCCCTTCATTTAGATGGACAACTTCCAGCTTAAGATTTGGATTTTACCATTGAATCCTTGGTTATTAATGGTAAATTATTTATCATTTTGTGTTCATATTTTCCTCCCCAGCAATGTTCTTGACAATGAAGACTTCATAATTCTCACAGTCATGCACAACCATTGGTACCTCCTAGGGTGCCTAAATATGTTGAGTGGGGCATGGCTCCAGAGGCCTGGCCAAAACTGCCCGGATTACGAAGATGAACCCTGACCGGGTGAAATGGAGCTTGTGCAACAGGAATCCTTGAAACCAGTGGGACAGAATGGCCTCTGACAGCAATACCTTCCTAGTTAATGCCAAGTTCAATCTCATACATCACTCAGACCATGTAGGCAAAACTGCAAAGTCAAAGGCTTCCGATGTTGAATAACTGTAATTATAAGCCAGATGTTGGCAGGTAAGTGAGACGGGATCTGAGCTTCAATCCTGGCTTTGTTTCCTATTAGTCTGGGTAACATCGAGCAAGCAATTTACCTTCTCTGGGAGTTAGTTCTTCATCTGTAGCATGAAGAGACTAGACTCCAGATGACATTAAGGACTAGATAATTCGATTATAAAATTACAGGATTCTCATTCCAAATCAGTGAAATGGGTGCCACACTTAGCCTTGGGAGTTTTTCATATACGTGTTCCGTGGGATAAGATTTACTAGTTTTGTGTGACGTTTGAAACCCTTGCTTTCAGCTTTTGGCATTTACACTTTTCTTTTTCCCAATTTGTGTTAAAGTAGATGGACAGATGGTTTATTAGACTTTCAAACGCTTGTGATGCTGTTCAATGCACAATGGTTTTAAACTTTGGAGGTCCACACAGAGCCTGGATTTTGCTTAGCATGGAAGATGGTTTTAACTCTTCAATTTAAGGATAATAGTGTCTACTCACATAATTTAAAGCAACTTGCGAATGTAACTCCAAGGGCCTCATCAGCTTGCTTTGCTTTGGTGTATGTTAACTCATTTCCTCTTTCGAGTTGTACTTTAAAAAAAATTAAGTTACCAGACTTCCAGTTAATTTGCATGTTTTGCCTTCTCGAGGCTCATTTAACCCACAACCTCATTCCAAATACAAAATTCTTTAATTCAGAATCCCAGAAAAGACGAACTGCTCAGTTTATAGGTAAGAAAACAAGAGCCCTAAAAGGCCCTGGTGCTCTTTCTACTGACTATGTATTTTCTAAATAAAAAAGCTGAAGTGAGGTTAGGCTGCAGGCCAAAAAAAAAAAAAAAGCACATACACACAAAAAAACCATCCAAAATTTGTGAATTGTAAGCCCCAATAGAAACATCAATTCCTTGAAATTTAAGGGTCAATTAAGAGAAAGTAGAGCTGGAACCACGTAGGTGAAAGATGGTCCCCAGGCGACCGCTTTGCTTCGTGGCTTTAAGCGCTCAGCGTGCGTCCTCAGGT